ACATCATGATACAATAAAATGCAAGGTGAAAAAGGTTATATTTACATACCTTGTGTTATCTCTCCTCCAGCAATGAAGCTTCCCGTGCGCGGTGGAACAAAAAGTTTTTTCATCAGTCCAGATAACTCTTCCCCAGTAATCCAGATCTTTGTCGATATGCTGCTGGGCGAATTGGAGACGACCTTGGCGATGACGTTCGGTCAACCTCTCTTTCACAGCTGGTGTACGGTGATGAATCCCATCTGCGTGCAATCGCTTTCTCACCGTGCGACTTGTTACTGGGAGCTGTAGTTCTTCTTGGATTTTGACCGCATTGGTGAAGGGGTTCGCCTCCACCGTCTCCCGGATTTGAGCATCCTGGTCTGCGGTCGTTTTCCGTGGAGCACCGGAACGAGAGCGGTCATTCAGGGTACCCTCCTCCTCCCATCTCCTTATCCACCTGTAAACGACAGATCGTGAGATACCCAACTCTCTGGAAATTTCACTGGGAGAGAGACCACTTTCCCTCATCCAATGATGCGGCCTCGAGTTGCAATTTTCGTTTGCCTTGCGTCCATCTTCAAAGGAGAGTCAGCTAAGCCAGAGTGTGCTGCATTTCACAGGCAACCCTGTTATTCCCTCGGATTTCCCAGACGTCACATTTTTTTTTCTTCTTCTTTAAGTTGTCTCCTCTTTCTTTAAATTACCCTGTTAGTAGTTCTGGGTTAAGAAACAAGCTTTCAGCTTCCTGGATTTTTCGGACATTTCGAATGTCTGAAAATAGTTATTCCATTAACCTGTGAAGGGTATTATAAAAAGTTTGACTTTCTCAAATCTAAATATTATATATATATATAATATATATATATATATATATATAATATATATATATATATATATATATTTACACATCTGTATACCTATGCATATATTCTTGATAGAAATGAACTGAGAAACAAGAGAATAGAAAAACAAAATAACAGAAAAGTAGAAACGAGATACATCAGCTAACAGGTCATGCAGTGAAGGAATGTGAAATATTGCGGAAAGACTGTGAGTAGTTATGGAAAATAAGGGGGGTTGGAAAAAGTTTTATTAAAAACGAATTGTTCTGGTTAATATGATTTTCCCAATATTTGCCCCTTTTCTAATACTGTTATTCTTTAAAAGTGAAACGCGAGAAGGTGGACACACGTGACATGCAATCATGTGGGGATTGGATCTTCTGTGCATGAGTTGGCAGAGCTTGTCAGAAATAGACGGAAGATTCAATTCCGAGAAATATATAGAATTGTTGAAGAAGTGTTCTCCGCGGTAACGGGAGCTATGCTTTGCCAGTTCCAAAACAATCAATTGTAATGCAGGATAACTGCCCATATAATACACACTTACGAGAGGGTAGTTACGAGATGGTTCCCAAGAACCAAAACCACTGGAGGTTTACACCTGGCCAAGCAAAGCATGTACCTGAACCCCATAGAAAATGTCTGGGCAAATATTGTTAACGTCTGGGAAACGGCCAATGAAAGAACCTCTCAACAGTTAATACAGCATGCAAAGAGGGAATGGGAGCTAATGCGAGGAAACCGGAACTAATCTATATAGAACGTCGCTTTCTGTACCGGAAAGACTACGATTAGTAAATAGAAAATAATGGACGTTGGACAAGATTTTAATAAAAAACGAATTGTTCTAGTTGGGTATAGATTTTCTAACTATTTGATCTCTTTCTACATAATACTCATTTCTTTAATAGTGAAATGCAACTAATTATATTCAAAACTTTCTACCCATATTGTCAGTTCATACAAGAAAAGTATATTCGTTATCAAATACATTTTGTGTATAAATTTAGCGCTGAACGTGGTTCCTAATGTTCCAAATGTAAGACCAATAATCCTAAACTCTTGCAGTACGCAAACTAGTAGTCAAATAAGAAATGACAAACAGCAGCATCTTGCAAAGCCATCTTTACTTCCTGACTCGCCACACACTCACAATGATGAAGCACATATATATTCACTATATCCCTCTGTGATTTTGCATTAAGTGAATGTTCTGTGATAAAGAAAATTCAAGTTTTTACAGTCTTCTGAATCGGTGTCTGAGGAAAACAAATTAAGTCACTCATTGTTCTATTTAGCTCCTTCTAGATAGTTAAGGTAGATAACGAAAAGTTGCAAATCAGTGAATTTTGCGAAAGTTCAAATTTCGTTCAGCTGTCATATGTAGACGTTTTAGAAAAGAAACGTTTTATATATTGTAAAGAAATGTGCAGTTATAATGCCATTTAAAGCTATCAAATAATTCCAGGAATTCGTGTATGAAAAATACTCATACAAAGTCAACGGCATCTTATATATTTCATATAACGAGAAATTTATTTTCATAAACTCATCAAGATAATCATATAACACATACGCGACACACAGTGATTAGACATGAATTGGCAAACGAGAGA